TGATTGATTACATAGAATTTTCCTAGACAGTCTTGAAGTGATACTAAATCAGATGGCTGAAGTCAATGGTTTCAAGATAGAAAGCCTAGGGTTTAAGAAATTATCTTCTTCATTGTAGGGTTCACTTTTGAAGCAATTAGCAATAGCAAACAAAAGTGTCGGTGGTGGAGTGGTTGTTGTACTTGCAGAAAGAGACAAGGAGGAAATGGAGATGGATATAGCAAAGCTGGAATTTGACTTCATGGGAACATCTGTCATATGCAGGAGTGGGAGTCCTCTGATACTGGCTGATTTAAAAAAGGTAATTTGACATCTTTATCATTTAGTTCTGTTGTTTTCCAATCTTATATTGAGAGCTTAAATCAGTTAAGGATTAAATGGATGCCAGATTAACCCCGGAGAACATTCAGTGGGTTGTCGCCTTTATTTGTATATTTTGATCTTTTCATTTTCTCCCTTGTTTTTGCTCATTATGCAACTGCATCTGGATTGATGTTGTTTTCAATTACAGGTCTCAGTATCAAAAGCGCGTGCCATCATTGTACTGGCATCTGATGAAAATGCGGATCAGGTTGCTCAAACTTTCTGTTTCATCATGTTTCTCTAGTTCTGTTATTTGTTGGGAAACATTAATCATTCTGTATTCTTGTTACCAGAGTGATGCACGTGCTTTGAGGGTTGTGCTCAGTCTAACTGGAGTAAAAGAGGGTTTGAGGGGTCATGTTGTCGTGGAGATGAGTGACATTGACAACGAGCCCCTGGTGAAGCTTGTTGGAGGAGATCTCATAGAAACTGTTGTTGCGCATGATGTGATTGGGCGCTTGATGATACAGTGTGCCCTGCAACCTGGCTTGGCACAGGTTATTTAATTATTGAGATTGCACTTTTAAATTATAGGAAGTACACTGAGGTCATCGACCTTCTCTTCTTATTTATTGAAGTATGTCTATAGTAACTATAAATGAAATTCTGCACATTTTGTTTCTTGTGGTTACGGTCTTCTGCACTCTTTTTAGTTTGACTCTTGGTTGGATTCAATGATTAGACTATTTTCCAAGTTTTGTTCCAAATTGCTTTTCTCAGAACCTCAATTTGCAATATTTTTGGTCTTGCCTTGTCCTTTTATCACTTTAGACTCTAGTAGCATGACTCCTAATCTTGTACTTATGAAACTTATCATATGAATTATTATTTTTTGTTTTTGTCACCTTTTTAATTGAGTCTTTATCTAAGTTGTTGTAACATTTCTAATCTTACATGAAGAATGTGTAGATAAAAAATAATATATATGTAGAGACTTAATTTCAAACTTATAAGACATCTTTTGTGAGATAAAACTGTGAGACTTTCGGATCAAAGCGGATAATACCTCGTAGATTGAGTGCGGATCTCCATAAATGGTATTACAGCGGTCACCAATTGGCAGTCAAGCCATGGGAGTCATTAAGTGTTACACGGTGATCTGGTGTGATCTTGGTCTTGATGGTATTACAGTGGTCATCAGTCGGCAATCATGGGAGTCACTAAGTGCTACACAGTGGTCTGGTGTGATCTTGGTCTTGTGGATGGACTCGACCTGACAGAGACGTCAAGCGATGGTATTACAGCAGTCATCAGTCGGCAGCCATGGGAATCACTAAGTGCTATACGATGGTCTGGTGTGATCTTGGTCTTGATGGTATTACAGCGGTCATCAGTCGGCAGTCATGGGAGTTACTAAGTGCTACACGATGGTCTGGTGTGATCTTGATCCTGTGGATGGACTCGGTTTGACAGGAACGTCAAGCATGGTATTACAGCGGTCATCAGTAAGCAACCATGGGAGTCACTAAGTGCTACACGGTGGTCTGGTGTGATCTTGGTCTTGTGGATGGACTCGGCTTGACAAGGACGTCAAGCATTAAAGGTGGGGAGATTGTAACGCCCCCAATCCCACATTGAAAGGATGTGTGGATAAAGAATGATAGATATGTAGAGACTTATTCCCAAATTTGTGAGACGCCTTTTGTGGGACAAAACCGTGAGACCTTTGAGTCAAAACGGACGATACATCGTAGGTTGGATGCGGATCTTCACAATTGTGGTTGCTACTGATCCAGTTCAACCTTAATCACCAAGCTATTCTCATTTTCTAGATTGTTTGCTTAACTGCCAACGACTTCTTTTTAGAAGAAAAGATTGTTTCTTAGTCCTACTTTTCTGTCAAAATTGTGCACATATTACAATTTTTTAGCTCTCCATTTCTAATCCTTTTGCCCTCTTATTTTCTATTTCCCATTTCTATTTAGTTAATATGAATTTATGGTTTATTTGCCTTGTCTTTGTTTAGATTTTTATAACCTTTGAATTGATAGCATATCTTCATAATTCTAAGCAAACACTTACCCTTAGATTTTTTATCAATTGAAAATGCTTTTTCTTTAATTTGATTTTTAATTTTTGTATTGTCAGATATGGGAGGATATATTGGGGTTTGAGAATGATGAGTTTTACATCAAAAGGTGGCCTCAATTGGATGGTATGCGATTTGAAGATGTGCTCATTTCATTTCCTGATGCAGTTCCTTGTGGAGTCAAAGTTGCTGCAGATAATGGGAAAATAATCCTAAATCCAGGTGATAATTATGTACTAAAAGAAGGGGATGAAGTCCTTGTTATAGCTGAGGATGATGACACTTACGCTCCTGGTCGCCTTCCAGAGGTAATCTTTCCTTTCTTTATCACTGTAGCTGGAAATGGATGTATGTATGTGGGCAGGATTCCTGAAAGCTGAAGCATTAGCAGCTAGAGAAGTTTCAAAGCTAAAATTTTTAATGATTTTCTAAAACCTTGTTCCAAATTATATCTAGTTAATAACAGCCATATCTAAGCAGCATTGAATGATAGCAATGCTTGTGTTTTCTCTTTAATCCTTTCAATTCTTTTTTACTAGAAGTTTAGAACATTGGTCCTTCAGGTGTCATTTCTTGTTTGACATACTGCATGCAGGTGCGTAGAGTTGATTTCCCAAAAGTACCTGAACTTCCAAAATATCCAGAGAAGATACTATTCTGTGGCTGGCGGCGTGATATTGATGATATGATTATGGTATTGCGCTAGCTGATTGTTCAGAATTTTATACTATTACTTTTCATTACCCCATTTGTAAGGATGCATTAGAAGACAAGCATGCTTATATTATCTACACAAAAAGACACCGAGGGAATTGAACACTTACGCAACAGAAAAGTGATAAAAACAATTAAGAGATTGGGGTTTCTACTTTCTAGATACCCTGTTTCAGTCTCATCCTGCTTGATATATGGATCCATGTTTACTTTTTCAGGTTCTGGAGGCATTTCTGGCCCCAGGTTCAGAACTGTGGATGTTTAATGAGGTTCCAGAAAAAGAAAGAGAGAGGAAACTGATTGATGGTGGACTTAATATTTCAAGTTTAGAAAACATAAGACTTGTTCACCGTGAGGGAAACGCCGTTATTAGAAGGCATTTAGAAAGCCTTCCTTTGGAGACTTTTGATTCTGTAAGTTGTTATTTCCTCCCCCTTTCAAGTTAGCCTAACTCCAAAGGACCTTAAATTTCTTTTACCTCACTCCAGCATTCATTGTTGTTTTTTTTAGTTTATTGTTTTAGTTCCTCACTCCAATTGTAAATTAACTGATTACTAACTCTAAAGGACAGATTTTAATTCTTGCAGATGAGTCACTGGAGGACTCTGTAGTGCATTCAGACTCAAGATCTCTTGCTACCCTTCTCCTTATCCGAGACATACAGGTAAGTGCTATACTGTCCTTCAGCTTATGCAAACAAATTAGGTTACCAAAATCCTTGTTACTGATTTCTTACTTTTTAATCTTTCCTGTTTGGGCAGTTTGTTTGCGTGAGTAGTATAAACTAGTTTCCATTTAGTATGAGATGCCATACTATATAAACCAACATCTTCCAACTTTATCGCCAATAGAAACAGGTCCATAGGAACCACTGCACTGATCTCAAATGCTAACACGAACAGACTACCAAAATAGCGAAAACTAAAGAGCAAGAAATTAGTAATGAAGGGTTTTGTTAACCGTCTTTAACAAGTAACATCAGGTTCGTTCTGAGTTGAAAATTTTCTGACCATGACTAGTACTGTTGCTTCCTTTGTGGATTGCAGTCAAAACGTCTACCTCATAAAGATTCAAAGTCAACTTCTTTACGGCTTGCTGGGTTCTCTCACAGTTCTTGGATCCGTGAAATGCAGCAAGCTTCAGATAAATCAATAATCATTAGTGAAATTCTGGACTCTAGGACAAGGAACCTGGTTTCAGTCTCCAGAATCAGTGATTATGTGCTATCAAATGAGCTTGTAAGCATGGCACTGGCAATGGTGGCTGAAGACAAGCAAATAAATCGTGTTCTCGAGGAACTGTTTGCAGAGGAGGTAGCTCTTACACCCGAACCTTTTTTCTAAGGAAGAATGTTTACACAGAAAATCAATATTGTTGTTGCTTTCAAAATGAGAGCTACAAAATCTTTGTTAAATTGCTATCTTCTTTCTTTCTGCAGGGGAATGAGATGTGTATCAAACCCGCAGAGTTCTATTTATTTGACCAGGAAGAGCTATGCTTTTATGATATAATGATTAGGGGTCGCGAAAGACGAGAAATTGTTATTGGCTATCGCCTTGCACATTCGGAGCGTGCAGTTATCAACCCTCCAAGAAAGTCAGAACCAAGAAAATGGTCTCTCGACGATGTTTTTGTTGTCATCTCATCAGGTTCTTGAATATAACGGATAGATATTTCCCTCTGCCATTGTCCTATAACTATTATCCTCCTCAATCCTACCATCCTATTCACATTCCCATTTTTAATTCCAACTAGAGTTGTACTGAAGATATCTTCATGACAGAAGTTTGGTAAAAGCCTTAACGTTGGGCTTTTAACCCGGCGATATTGTTGTGCTACTGTACAAGATTGTTGTTAAGAAAATGAGTTGATTTTTCTTCAAAGGTGATGCAGATGAATCCATTGATAACTCTCGAAGCACTAGGATTTCTTTCATTGACAATGCATTGTTTTTCAAGACAAAATCACAGAGAAGAATTCACACATATAATATTAATGAAATACAACCAATGCAAGACAAAATCATCACCGTTGTGTAAACTCACAACCACGTTTTACTCAAATTACAGTCTTTTGTCACGTTCTACGCAACAGTCCATGTGATATTATAACATATTTCCTCCAAAAATCGCCATCAATCTTTGATATCTGTTTATATGTCAAATTGATATGTCCAACAAGTCAATGACCAGGTACTCCATCAACAGAGCCGCTACTCCTGAACATGCTGTCTCCCTGCTTCGCTTCCCTGTAGTTTTCAGTACATGTTAAACAATCAGCTTCTCTAGGCATTTTTAAGAATAAAATAAAGTGAATTAATGTATAAAAAAACCCACCATATAAAGAAGAAACTGCATTATTCCAGCCAGAATCGGGTGGCTTGAGAGGGCAAGAGGAAACTGGAAGAACAGGAAGGTTTTGACAGTTGCAAATCTCAACCATATAGCCATCGGGGTCATGGAAGAACAACTGATCTACTTTAACCCCACCCTCTTCCACCACTGCTGTCACATACTTGATATTCATGTCTTCAAGTTTTCGCATCACCAGCTTCATATCAGAGCATTGGAATGAAATATGGTTGTCTTTTGGATTGATTTTTTCTTTCTTTGTTGGAACACTGTCTGATTCTAGCAAGTGGATGCCAATTCCATAGTTGAACAACCTGAATCAATACCCATTTTTCAGTTTTCAATTTTAGTCAGTGTATGGTGGATCTACTCAAAGAACTATTCATATAGTTTTAAGTTAAATTCGCCATCTGAAGACACAGACAGCAAATCCAAGTAGCTAAAGTTAAAACCAGAATTTAGATTAGTTTGAGATAGTAGGCATACCAAGCTCCTTCAAAGTTGAAAGAAGAAGGTCGTTTGATGAGAACAAATCCCAACACTTCCTCATAAAACCTCACAGATTTGCGTACTGATTTGCAGACAAAAGAGACATGGTTCAAAGATAATAAAGGCAGTTTTGTTGGTGAGGATGAAACTGAAGACAACCATTGCACCTCTTCTATTTCTCCACTATTTCCCATACTTTTTTTTCCTCTCTTTCTTTCTCTTCTCTCAACAGCTTCTCACTTGAAATGTTTCAATTAAACTATGCAAAGTATATTTGCCAAATGAGTTCTATGATAAGCCTTTTTATAAATGTTATGAGAGAAAAAGCAAAGCCAACTGTATAATAAAAAAATATATATAAGTATATAATGAATATATAAACATGTGATTTTTTTTCTTTTTTCTTTTTCTTTTTCATTTTGGTTTTATCCACAAAAACTATTTTTTCTACTGTATCATGTAAAGCACATGATTTGCATTTCATTTCATTTCTTTTTCAGTACATTTAACTACTGCAACCATTTTTGTCGGTGAAATTAAGGGCTAGTGACCACATGTTTTGACATTCTTTTAGTAGTTGCTCCTTGTTCTTCACCAAAAATCAACAAATTTGTTCAAACTTTTCTTAAATTATGAAAAAGAAATTTCCCAATCTTAATAAAATATACTTTAAGAAAATGAGTCTAATTTGTTGGGGAGGCTTTAGCTCATTGCATGAAATTGTCCAACTTTTTTGACCTGGCAAAGATTTATATGTACATGTTGTTCATCATATCTTCCATTGAAGTCCTATACAATTATTTTGCACTTCAAAAATTAAGATGAGTTTGCTTTGGAGTATAAACTTATCTCAATTTGAAAGATTGAAATCTTTTCAAAGAAATATGAGTGAATTGTGAACCATTTGAAATAAATATTAAATTTATGAATTATATAAATTATTATCATGAATTTATTTTAAGCGTTTATAAACACTTGTTAAAATAAATTAAATTTAAAAAATAATGTATTAATTGCAAAATACTTACTATAAATTTCATCTTTAAATATAAAGCAAAAACGAGAGGTTGGCATGTTTAGCTGATCATCAATATCATTTTTTTAGTAGACTGAGGACCCAGTATTCATGACCAACTGTGTATTCGTTGGCTTGATTGAATCTTATATGCATATTTCTGTATGATTGGATTTATTAAAAGATAATCCATTTAAGATACAGAGTACTGCACCGATAAGATTGTTGGACCTCCCTGTTGTGTCAGGTCACATCAACTTATGTCTTTTGCCTTGTTCCATCCACGTTATATCAGTTTTCATCTTATTATTTGTAATAAAATTTTTATTAGGTAATTTAAAAATGAGATATTTCAATTCACAATCCTCAATTTCACATCCCTTTTGTAAACATTCAATTAAAATGATAGTAATTTCAATAAGCTAATATTTGCATCTTTATTATAATATGTGTGAGATCAATTTGGATTGTCCTGAATTTATAAATAAAACACTTCCACAAAATCTAACTAAAAATCTGATTTTTTTTAAAGATTTTTCAGAATAAAAAAAATAATATTATATACTCAAAAGGCCAGATGTGAAGCACGTGGTGGGACATCCAATTGGTTGGACATAGCTGATAAGTCTGATGAGATATCCTTTACGATTGGCAACCAAATGATAGGAGAAGAAGACATGAGAGGTTAGTGGGTAGGTGAAGCATGTTTCTTTATCAATTCAACTTTACATTTTTCCTAAAAAAAATTTAAATTAAATATAAAAATATATAATTTTAAAAATATTTGGAAAAATATTAAAAACTCATATAAATTATGGAGATATCCAAAATCCTATATTTTTAAAAAATGATAAGAGAAGGGAAGCCAATTTCTTTCATATTTGTGTTGATAAGGAGAGCTGACTCACTACGCCAAAACATACCTCATAGGTACATCAAGTAGTACCTCACATGATAACAGTAATTTTGAAATATGGGGGACCGCATAATCAGATATTATGCTTGTACAGATCGATACAATTAAGAATGGTGGGCTTACTTCCTTTTTGAATAAATAAATAAAAGTGAAATCATTTTCTATCATCCATATATCTTTACAGCTAGGGATGGATGTACGTAGTGGCTATGAGACAGGCTGCCCCCACTGACTCCTAAAATTTTTTAAATTTATTAAAAAAATCTCAAAATTTGAAAAATTTAAAATTTTATTCTCACTAAAAATATTTTTATTAAATTTACCCTGATAAATTAAGGTTCATATAAAAAAATATTTTATTATTTATTTAGTAATTGAACATTAATATTTTGGTGTTAAATAATTTTATTGTAATATATAAGTTTGTAAAAAAAAAAAACTACTTTAGAGATTTTAAAATTATTAAATTTCAAATTTGCTCTCATAATTTATTTAGACTTATGTGAGATAATTTTATAAGGATAGCAAAACTTAGAGTTTATACTATTTAAATGGTTGTAACCATTTATTTAATATAATATATAAAATGTAAAGTAATAAAAATAAAAAAAATCATTTAGATTTATATTTTCATTTTTTCATTTTATCTAAGAAATGAGATATTTTTATTATCCAAATTATAATGAATAAAAAATAAAATATGTTTGTTTATTTGAATTAAATGATAGAACTAAATATATTAAAAGTGAATAATAAACTAGATATGTTAATTTTTATATAATTTTATCACATAATATATCTATTTTTAAGAATTTTATAAGTAAAATTTTATTAAATTAATATATATTTTCTATGTTGAAAGTTGATTTATTTAAATAATGTTTCGATTATATTTATTAAGAATCGTATAATTAATTTTAATTATACAAAAAAAAATTATGTACAAAAAATATATTATACATTTTGATTTTATTTATAATTTTTTATGTTAATTTATATTAAAAAATTTTAAATTAGTTTAAAATATTTACCCAGTGACTATAAATCGAAGATTCGTTTCTGATCAATATCATGGTTTGGAACAGAAGAGAGAGAGAGAGATTAAAGAAACCTCATGTACTTGTGCGGCACCTCGCAATATCTTTTTTTCTTTTTAAATGAATGCGCTTCGCAATATCCTTTTTTCTTTTTAAATGAATGTAGTAAACTTTTGTTATGTGTTTACTTGGTTGCTCGTCACTGTATGATTTTTTTTTTTTATCTCAGTTTTGTTTGTTTTGTAAAAAATCATTTTTGAAAAATGATTTTTGTAATTTTACATATTTATTTGGTATAAAATTTATTGATTAACAAAAAATAACGATTTGATCGACAGAAAATAATGTAATTTTTCTTGAAATTAGCTTTCCCATTTCCAAAACAAAAGATAATTTCTCAAAAAAATTATTTATGAGTAAAATTATTTATCAATATATTTGAATATAATTTTACTCAAATTGAATTTTATATATGATTTTTTAAAATTTAAACTAATTTTTATTTGATCTAAATATTATTATATTAATAAATTATATTTGTATTTAATTTTAATTAAAAATTAAATATGAATATTAAAAATCTTCTAATATTTTAATTTTAAATACTTTTATCGTTCTACTCAAATAAGATTTTGAACATAATATTTTAAATTTAAATTTATCTAATTCAACTTTTAAAAAAATTTAACATATTAACATTACAAGTTTTTGATATTTCAATTTTAAATATTTTTATTTTGTATATTATTAAACATAAATATTTTTAAAATTTCAATAATAAATAATATTATATTATTATTTTAGTTTAAAATATATAATTTTATATTTTTATTTATTAAGGTATTGATATTTCTACTTTAATAATGAAAATAAATAAAAAATTTTTTGTTATGTTTTAATAATAGATAATTTTCAATATAACATATAACTATTTTAATAGTATAAATATTTTAATAATAAATATTACTATTTTAACATTAATAACAGTATTTTTTAAAATAGTAATACTATTTTAAATATCTTAAAATACTAATATAAGGAATAATAAATAGATTTATTTTAAATATTTTAATATTAATTTACTATTTTAATTTTAAATATTATTAAATAAAATTATTATTAAATATTAATAATTTTAAAAATAAATAATTTCAATATATTTTAATAATAAATAATTTTTAATATTTTATAGTTATATTAATATTATTTGGAAAAATTAAAATTTTCAAAAAATAATTTAACAAAAAGTAATTTTTAATTAACTCATTCAACAAAATAAAATATCTTTATTTTTTACATTTGTTTAAAAAATTTAAAATAAATTTTTACAAAACAAACTGGACCTCATTTTATTTTTTATTTCACTTCAAAAACATCAAATCATTTTCTAGAGAGACAGAGAAACTGATACTTAGGGTAACATTTACTTTAACCGGCCAAAGAAAATTAGTACTAAATGCACCTCTCCCTTTTCTCTTCATGTCCCAATTTCTATAAAAATTTTTATAAATGAAATTATTTAATTATTCTTTTTCTTTCAAACAGATTTTTAAAAATAAATTTTTAGAAGTTTTGAATCATATCAAAATATTTTAACATAAAATTTTATAAAATTAAATACTAAATCAAATTAAAAAATAAAAAAATAAATGATTTATCTTTAATTTTATGTTTTTTTTTTTTTTACTTTCAAATGAGTGAAAATTTCAAATATGTTTTTATCTTTAAGAATTTCAAATCGTTTGTTCTTTTTATATTTTTGTTTAATTTTATATTTAATTTCGTAAGATTTTATATTAAAAAGTTTTTATGCATTTCAAAACTTTAATGAATTTTTGAAAAATTTTAAAAATTTTTAAAAATCATTCAAACATTTATTTTCAAAAATGTTTAAAATTTTTTAAAAATTTATTCATGAAAACTTATTTAAAAGAGAAAGATTAATTAAGTATTTTTTTTATAAAAAATAATAAAAAAAAGTTGAGGTATGAAAAGAGAACGTTGGATGCCTTTGGTAACACTCAAAGAAAATCTATGTCGTACTGCCAACAAGCATTCACGCACGCCTTCTCAGTGTCATGCCCTTGTCAGTCATTCTACATATCGGTTTCTGAACGCAGCTTTATCTCTTTTTTCTCATGGCAGTCCTAAACCACAGTCGTTAATGGCAAAACCGATCGTAGAATCGCTGAAAGGGATGAGATTCGTCTCTGCTTGCCTAGCAAAGGTCACATGGCTGCCTACACTATCGATCTGCTCAAAGTAGTGGTTTAACCCCTCTGCTTAGTTCATTTCTTTCTTAATTGTTAAGAAATTCGATTTATTTTTCTTCATTAATTGATTTCCTCCAAATTTCTTTATTTTATCGTAGAAATTTTTAAACGAGAAACTGACACTAAGCAAAAAATTTCATTGGCTGCAAAAGCAAATAATGTTAATGAGAAATTATTTAAAATTTTTTTAACTTTTGTAAGTAATAAAATATGTATATAATTTTAATAATTATGTTTGAATATGTGTTACATTTTAACCATTTTTATTATACTTTTTGTTCGAAACTAATGCTTTGTTTTTTCTGCAAAAGGATTGTCAATTGTCGGCTAAGCCGGTCAATCCGACGCAGTATGTTGCACAAAAACCTCATGTTTGTGCCATCTTTCTCTCTCACAATATGCATTGTTCTTGTCACCCAGCAACGGATGCACATGGTCGCCAGAGGGGCAGCTGCCCCAGTGAGTCCTAAATTTTTTTAGGTTTATTAAAAAAAAAATCTCAAAAGTTTTAAAAATTTAAAATTTTATCCCCACTAAAAATATTTTTATCAAATTTGTCCCACTAAATTAAGGCTCATATAAGAAAATATTTTATTGTTTATTTAGTAATTGAATATTGATCCTTTGGTGCTAAACAATTTTGTTATAATATATATTTATATATATAAATTTGTTAAAAAAATAAATTACTTTTAGAGAATTTAAATTTTTTAAATTTCAAATTTCTTATAATAATTTATTTAGATTGATGTGATATAATTTTATATAGATAATAAAACTTAAAGGTGTACTATTTAAATGGTTTTAACCACTTATTTAATAAAAAAAGTAACATATAAAATGTGAATTAATAAAAATTAAAAAGTTTAGATTTTTATTTTTATTTTTCTTTTTATTGTATCCAAGAAAGGAGACATTTTTATTCTCCAAATTATAATGAATAAGAAATAAAATATGTTTCTTTATTTGAATTAAATGATAAAACTAGACATATTAAAAGTGAATAATAAAATTAGATATAGGTTAATTTTTATATTAATCTTTCACATATATATTATATCTATTTTTAAAAATTTTATAAATAAAATTTTATTAAATTAATATATATGTTTCTATATTGAAAGTTGATTTATCTAAATAATATTGACTATATTTAAAAATCATATAATCAATTTTAATTATACAAAAAAAATATTTTGTAACAAAAATTTTTTTTCGTATACATAAATTATGTTATTCATCTTAATTTTATTTATATGTTTTTATATTAATTTGTATTTCAATAAAAAATATTTAAATTAATTTAAAATATTTATCCTCGCTAACTATAAATTTTGGATCCATCCTGCTTATCACTAGTTTCCACATTCAAGAGCATTTTCATAGAGTGTGAAACTGAAACTCGAAAAGCACAATTGCATCAAAAATTGATTTATAAATACCAAGCACATGATAACTTGACAAGTTTCAAGCTCGAAATTCTTTGCTCGAAGCAAAAAGAAAGCAACCCAAGAAGGAAGTTTCAGTACATAAGTTTCCTAGAACAGACAGCTACTCAGCGCCTGTACAGCCACAAAACTATCAGCATGTTAAGCTAATGCCTTTTGTCATTTTTACTGTTAGCAATTCTAAACTGCCAACAACTGCACATCAAATTAAACATTCTCATACAGTATTTTTTGTCAAAGTCATAAAGCAGCTTCTAAACACTATGGTCCACACATCACTTGCACAGTTGCCTTGCTCCCTCCAATCATCTCATCATCTTCTCTGTCTCACAACTACTGACATCAACTTTCAAAACTGAGATTCTGAGGAATTAAAAATCCGTCAAAGACATGCCCAATTTGAGCAGGTCAAACGCATTGATTGTCGAAGAAAGTACATGCAATCAAGCTTGCTCTAGCAGGATTCTTAAGTTCCTCATCTCGAGCTTGTGTCTCCGATATCTTATGTATCTTTATTCATACTACGTCTCTATTATCTGTGGTTTTAACGTCTCATCAGCGGAAACATCCTCAAACACTGAATCAGAAGACTCATTTAAACCTTTGATTTCCTCCATACTCTTATCATCTTCTTTGGTAACTTCTCCATTATCAGCAGAAGGAATAACCTTTCTTTTCCTCCTAAACGCTCTTTTTCGAAACTTGTCCGCCTTATTCATAAGATGAATATATCTAAACCGCATTCCCATCAATGGATGGTTCTCCATAAAGAAATCCTTCCTATAAGCTTCCTTAAGCACGACAGTCTGTGTCCTAATCTTATTGGAAACATAAAAAATCCCAGGAAAATGCACCATCGCCTTCTTAAATCGATTCCCAAAACCCAAATACTCTCCCAAACAAAGCACATTCTTTCCTTCCGTCTTCTTCGACACCAACAACCACAACAACTCGTGAAGCACCGCCACAGTCCATTTCTCCGCCTGATCACTATTAGGCCCCAAATGGAATGCGTTCTCATAAGGTGAAATGTAAGGCAAATCTTGCCATGCGTCAACCCAATTCTTCACTTTCTTCTCTAAATCAAACCCATTGGGTAATTTCATCGAAAACCTTAACGGCAAACCTTTTTCCAGTTCCACGTCATCAGAAAATGATGCTCTCTTTTCCATTTCGGAAGCCGCAAGCTCTTTCCTCCAAGAAATAAGCTCTAAAAAAAGGATTTCTTTTCCATCAAAAGGGTTTTTATATTCACAAATTTGGAAATATTCAGGATAATCAGAAAGAAGAAAAGTAATGTAATGAGGGGGAAGGCCAAGATCAAATTTGAACCTATCTATGATATCTAACGGCAGCCTACCTGCTTTAGTAAGCATTAACAGCTTAGCCAGCCTCTTCACGGCGTCGTCTCGATGAGAGGGAGAGTTATGAATAGCCAGCTCTTCTTTGTGGAGTGTCATGGCTTGAGGGGTGAGCCTAACGTGGAGTGGAAGAGAAGGAGAGGGTTGGAATTGGGAGAAAACGGAAGCGTATTTTTGGAAAAGTTTGGAGGTAGAGGTGGGGAGATTGAAGTGGGTTTTGAGAGGGGAGAGAGAGGAAAGGGGGAGGGAATTGGAGGGAGAGGAGACGATTTGGTTTTTGAGGGAAAGGATTTCTTTGAGGTTTTTCTCTCGTTCCACGGCAATGTCAAGATATGGGTCACGAACCCATTTGATCCTGGCATCCACGAAGGTGCGGGCCAGATGCAGTCGGTGAGGGACTCTGGTGCAAAACGCCATGGCTATCAATACAGGCAGGCGGCAATTGCTGTATTTTGTTTTTGAACTTTAATAATTTATAATGGAGTCCAAAAATGGAAGTTAAATTGGGATTGGTTGGGTTAAAACTTGGGCGTGTACATCAATTTCTTAAGGGTGCATATTGGGTTGGGTAACCCGAGAACCAATCTAATTCAACTGGAACTGCTCGGGTTGGGTCGGGCCAACGCTTAGTACGAGCCACGTTTTCTTGTTGTTCACACGTAGGATAACAATTGCTTAGAAATTTCTATTTATAACTTGCATTATGTAAACGAGGGAAACCAAGGAAATAATTAGAACATCAAAATCATTACTTGGAAATTTGTTCCAAACAATGATGAAATGTCATCCATGGAGGAGAGTTTACGAAGTTTCTTAGGCACTGACTTCAGTTACATTCAAAGCCCACAACCATGTGGTGATGTTGGACAGTAGCCAAGGTAATGTAATGAGAACTAAAATACCTTCGCAATGAGGATACAGAAACCGAGAAACTAATAGCCTGTAGATGCACAGAAGACCCAATGACAGTAAGGATTAATGCTACTAATGTCCAGCGGAGCGCCTAATGAAATTCAAAAGCATCTAATTTGCACGGGTCATCTTCATTCTTGGCATTGCCGCCTTCATCTGACGAGCACGATCTTTTGCTTCTTTTTTGCGAATCGCTGCTGCACTAAGCTTTGCCTCGGCCTCCTCTAACATTTTTTTCCTCTCTGCCTTCTTTTTCTGCAAGGCTTCTTGCCTAGCATTTTGAAGTTCTTTGTACGCCTCTTGAGCAGCCTTAACTCTTGCTGCTTCAGTTTTGGATCGAGCCTGCAATAAGAGAAACAAAAATTAAGAACAATACCAAATTGGCATACATTGAGTATTTGATGCATAAAGTAATTTCCAGCTGATCCACCTGTGAGCTGAGCTTGTACCGCCCAATTAGATCAATGTAGTATGGTACAAGAGCCACCAAGCGAGTCATGTCAGCCATGTGGTTGGCATCAGGAAGGGCAAACTTAAACAAGAGCATCTTCTTGTGTGTGCCAGGATGTTGATCTGAAAAATGCATCGAAATGAAACCCTTTCCATATTTCTCAAAAGCTTTGTCACCAAAAACCTGCAGGTTATGAATCACAATTCATTTTGCCCGTGTTAAAACAACTGGTTGAGCTGCCATGCAAATTTGGAGCAAATCTCAGCAAAACAATAAAAGGTTAATCACAATGGGCCCAAGAATGTAGCATGAACATGGAAATTCATACAAAAGAACCACAGAAAAACCTAGATATGATAGTCATATCATCTTCAGTAAACTTGAATGTAAAGATAATGGATTCATAAATCCTAATAAAATAATCATAATCATAAGCATGATGTTTGGTAACTTTGAAATCTAGATGTTCAACAGAACTGTTCACATGCATGCACATAGCCATGGAGTTTAATAGGACCTTTGTACCATGATTTAATAAGGAGAAAAACTGTGAAGAGATAAAAGTAAGAGACTGATGACCATCAAAATATGGAAAATCCCTAAGACAAACTGTCACATTTTCCCAGCTATCCATTCCACAATCAAGAAGACTCCTGCTTTTAACCAGTAGCAAGTTCCAGAACCAAAAAGGGAGTACGAAAGATGGGGCACTACCCTCATAAGGCTAGGAAACTAACGGAGAAGAAATCCTTGATAAAGTCTGATCATGCAAACTTCTTTAATTGCAAAAATGAAATCAACAGCAAATTTAGCAACAACTTGTGTTTTAGCCACTAATGTAGCAATGTTCTACCCATTCCATCCTACTAGCACAAATACATGTTTGAAAACTAACTAAAGTAACTGTTCATAATCAGCCCCCTCAAAATATAAAACCACATGAAAATCCTATCAGTTAGTTCTCATTTACCATTAACTATTGCATATAACCGACTTAGGGCATTAATATGTACAGAAGCCTCCCATCCACAAAAAGGAACAATAAACTAACAACTAAAAGGTTATGAATTCAACAACATGGTTAGATACTGATCTTTTTCAAATCAATCCATCTTCATGAATGTTTTGAAAATAATTGATCAAAATAGGCATATAAACCTGCCAACTCAGACTAGGTGTTTATTCAAACTTACTTTAAGCTAAATGATATGCCCTTCAATATTCCCAACACTACCATAAAATCAGGTATTGTTTCACGTCAGCACTGACTTCTTGAAATGTAGCCAACTTATTTTTTTCTACACTTGCCAAAGAATAGGATATGCGTGACTAATCTGCTAGCGTACCCTGACACCTATACAAAAATTCCTACTGCACTAAAGAATGCTTACTGAGTGAGTGCAAGAAGAGAACACAGAAAAGATTATTTCCTAAAACTGTATGCTTCAATAATGCAAGCCATATGAACCGTGCATTTAGCCCAAAGAAAACCATAAGGATCTAACAGATGAAAAGGGTATACTCTACCACTTTCAAGTACTAAAATCCTCATCATCCTACACTGCGAAATAAAACATAACAAATCAAAACCTGTCATAAACAAGCAATAACTACAATAATGCATTAGTGCACCCCCCAAGAATCCACTTTGTTTACCAATCAACCAAACTCTCGTAATAACAAAAGAAATCCAAATCATGCAACACATCGACAGAGAAAATATTCCATTAAATCAAATTAAAATCCAGAGCCATAGGAAACAATAAAATGAACAGAAGTCGAAAGCTTGACCAACCGACCTGCTCAAGCACAGCCTCCGTAATCAAATCCCCAGCAACCTCCTTCGATTCAGAGATCACGGAGAGTTCATCCACCACCCATTTCCTTCCACTAGGATTCGCCACCAAGCCAGCAAACCTCTGCAAATCTCTAACCTCCTTTTGCATCCCTTTAGCTGCCTTCTTCTTTGCCACCGCAAAAACCACCTGGTCCATCGCTTCGTCATTCATATAAACCTCAAAAGTAATCTCATCCTTACACGGCACCACCAAATTAAACAATCTCGATATCAAATCATGCCTGCTCTTCAACTCCATCGTTGCCAACAATCCCTGGCAGTATCTTCGTCCACTCCCATAGAATTTGAACATGTTTTGCCCTTCTTTTAACAGTAAGGGCGAGTCCTCCCCTTCTCCCACACCCAAAAGACTGAAATTTTTCTCAAAGATCGAACCTTTTGTTGCAAATTTGGCTGCCCATGCCAACGCAAGGTTCTCGTTTTCACGTTTACCGGTGAAGTAATTGATTAGGAAAACAAGCAAAAAAGACCCACAGATAATCTCCACCGCAAATGACTTCTTCGAAACCGTAGCGCTTTGGGGTTTCGAGGTTGTTTTTGGATCTGGGTCATTGGGAGTGGTATTTTCAGTAACTTTCGGAAGATCCGGTGGCGGTTGTTCGACGGGTAAGCCCTCAAATTCGTCCTCGTCCCAGTACTCAAAAGTGGTAGTCGATGGCTTTTGAAGATCCGATTGGGAAGGAGGATCCGAAGTGGGAACAGGGTTCGAATCGGGATTGGTTTGGGTTTCAGGATCTGGGGTGGGCTGTGAGTTGGACTGAGTTACAGGAGAGGATCGGATGGAGTGGTGGTCCAAGGGTTCTTCTTCAACAGCGTCATCGTCTTCGGCGTCGAATCCTTCGAAGTGAGAATCGGCGAGGACATGAAAGAAACAGAGATGGGTGACCAAAAGAGAGAGGAGAAAAAACAAGTGGAAGAAGGAAATGGATTTGCCTCTGTTCATTTTGGAGTTGGGTTTTTTCCTTTGTTTCTGTTTCGATTTTTTCAGAGGGAAACGAGCATGATTCTGTGATTGGGGGTGGAGAGCCTACAGCCGAGTAGCGTGGACGACTATTATTTGGAAGACGGCTGAAGTGATTGAGATCGTCCGATCTTTAGCTCTCCACGTACTATAATTCACGTTGAACAATCCTAGATTATGCAATAAAATAACATGCAATAATTCAATTTAGTTAGTAGTTGCTTGGTATATGATTAATTGAAATTTAAGCTGTTGCAATTAGATGCGACATATTAGCTTACATGATATATATGCTACTCAGATTAAATTTAAATAAAAAGATAGGTATTATTACATGAATTTATCAATAGTTTAAATATTAAGTGTAGAAATAAATTTTTTTATTTTGATATTTCTTTGCCTTGTGTTAGTGTTCTAATGAACTGTTTTTACCATATTTAAAAGAGGATAACTAATGATATGCATTAATTAAATGGTTGTTACAAATACATAATTAATCTAACAAACACTTTCCTTCTTTCTTGTGTTTGTAATTTGTAAAGTGTTAGAAATTAGAAAATAGAAATCAAGAATTAAGACGAGCATGTTGCCAATCTGGCAAAGTGAATTTGAGCCTTCTGAATCCAAGCTCAAAGGAATTACAATCTTGAATGACTGCAACTAGTAGCATAGCCACATATTGCAGCAATAGTTATTGTATCATTAATATATATACAAGCTCATAAACTTTTCCCTTATTTCATTTTTCAAAGTACAATATTTACTCCAGAATCCAGATTACTCAAAGTTTTGCTTAGATCATAGAACTGAGAATTTATTGAAACCTGATGAACATCCTCTGATTGCTAGGTTAATGTCTTTTGTGGGCTTGCTTACAAGGCTGGAAAAGACAAAGAATTTGTAAATCGCAGCAGCTCTGCCCTTATTGTTGTAATTCAGCTGGCGTTAACGGCTCGACAATTGCTTGATTAAGGGCAATATCGCCCCCATCTTGATCCAATGTCCTGCTTTCTCCACCCTCCTCATTTGGCTTCCCCATAAGTCTAGAACATAGTAGACCAAGAGAGAAAATCATAGGCCAAACAGATATTTTGATTGGGGAAGCATGATCTCGAAGGCAAAAAGAATAATTAATTGTTGAAATAATACATTGAGCAACAGCACAAACCAATCCAATGATTTCTATCAGTGTACCAAAAGGCCTGTTACTTGGAGGAGGTGGATGATAGAACCAAGGCATTCTTCCACTACTCCACATCCATGTAACTTTTTCCTTCCTACCTTTGTAGACAAACTCAACCAAGCAAACAAGCATTGATGTTAAGGATATTAACATCACAATGAGAACATAAGCAGGCTTTTTTTCTGATGACATCTGGTCGAAAACTGCTGAAGGAATCTCCATAAGAAAGTTCACCAAGGCAAGACGAGTCCCCAAATTATACTACAAGAAGAGAAACGAAAATAATTAGTTTATCTTGAAAGAGATAAATAGGTAGACTGTTATTGTTTCCATTAGATTTCAACCTTTGCTTGGAGAGTATATAAACAATGTCGCCTGCGGGGTGCTTGATCATGATGGTCGACTTCAATATCAGGCTGGTTGTGCTGAAATACAACAAGCTCATTGCCTGGATTTGCTACAGCTGCAGTAGCATTTGCAATTAGCATCTGTCGTTCCTCATCAGGTTGTTCACTTTCTACATTTCCATTATTCAGGGGTAGCTGTCGATTTATTCTTCTTACAATCACAAAACCCACTAAAATAACAAGAAAAAGAAAAATAACAAGAAGCAAAAAGAAAGAGTTCGTCATAGCTTTTTGTTCTTTGTCCACTTGAGTTGTCTCTGAAAAACGTCGTCCATAAACTGTGAGGGGCTTCATTTCTACGAGAGATTCCCTGCCTGCAACAGCAGCCGCCTTCAGAAAAAGAGATTCCCCTTCTGCAAGAGGAGCCGTCTTCAGAAAAAACTTTGAAAGCTTCATTAGAAATGCCATGCTGATGCCGTTGGAATTATGTTGGGAAGGCCAACCAAAACTAGGACTTCAATTCCAGCAAGATTTAACAGGAATTAATTTCCTAAAGAGAAATTTATCGTAGAAATTGATTGAAGCTTGCTCCAGAGAACTTTAAGAGGGAAGAAACGGTCGACCACTTCAACAACATACTGGATTAGCTTCTGTTGACCAGTTCTCTTGAATCAACGAATATTTCCACCTTCTGACACTAAAAAAAAGTATTATTACTTGAGAAAACCCGTAGCAGGAAATTTCCTTGGAAGTCTTATTTTATTTTGATCGTATTTTTTTTTCTCTTCCTTTCCACAGATAAGATCGTTAGGTTGTAGCATACTTCATTTTTTGCAATCAGGCAGTGACACCTGGCTATGTTTCCCTGTCACATATCCCATTTCCCATCATCTTCTCATATTAGTTAATGGATTACAACCCGCATGCCGATTGTGTTCTTATATTTTACTTGGCGTTTGCTATCAGTAGAAATTATTTTTTGTCCTAAAAGGGAGGTGGATGTTGTTGATTTCATTTCATATTCCCAAGCTTAGGCTTTAGACTTTTAAGATTTAAAACACTAGAATGAAGCAGGCGATAGAAGATACATAAAGACAAGAAACCGCATCTCTGTCTCTTTCCTTTGGCCGGGGCCAGAGCTCCTGCCCTGGATTCCGCAAAATATGTCGTCCTTTCACCGGAAGTCAATTATACTGACGTATCACAAAAGTCAGTCAGAACTAATACCACATGACCGAGCTTAATTTGTATTTATGTACTCATGGAATAATCAAACTAAAAAGTCCAAACCCCAATTAATGATTTCAAAGATTTTTTTTTTAATTATATATATTGTTAGAAAAAAAAATAATTTTGAGGCATAAAAAATATTAATTTAAAAGTAATTATGTTTATAAGATATAATAAAATTTTAAACTCCTCAAATCAAAATTAGTAAAATTGATTATGAAAAAATATCTATTTATAATAAACAAATAATTACAAATATTTATTCAAAAATTATGATAATTTGTATTGTCATATTTTTTTATTCAAATAGTCATACTAATTATATATTTCAAATAATTATAACATTTTATTATGTTATTAAACAAATATTTTTTTATTTAGAATAAAAAATAATTATTACATATTATTTTATCATATAAAAATTATTTTTATTCATACAAATTTTTTTAAAATAAAAATAATATTAATTTATATTTCAAAAATTAATAAATAAAAAATTTTAAAAAATTAAATTTATTTACGAAAAAAATCTAAGTACCCAAAGTATTAATATTATAAATGTTAATAAATAAAAAATTTTAAAAAATAAATTTATTTACTAAACAAACTCAAATACATAAATACCCAATTTTTAACTTTTAAAATTTCTTTGAAAAATTTTTAAAAAATCCAAATGATTCAACACTTAATTCCATTAATTATCTCATATAAATAATCTCTTTTAAACTACATATACAGAATTTCTTTCTATTTAATATGGGATATATAACATTCTAAATTATCAAAATATATATGTATATATATATATATATGTAAGTATTTATTAAGAAATGTTAACAGCAGAGGCAACTTGCTTTCCGGAATCTAATAAACATCCTTTTTTAGTCCTTATGTTGTGCTGATAGAAAACACTGAAAGAGGATCCAGCACAACATTGGAAAAGATGCCATAACACCATTTGCATAAACAAGAGAAAGTTTTGAACAGTTATTTTGCATTTCTGAATACTAAATAAACGTCTAAATCATCACCTTCTTTGCACTGAAAAATGAGAGAAGAACAAGGCTCAGAGACTACAAGTTGAACAGGAAGATCTGGAAACAACTGACAGAGCAAATGCTGCAGCTCTGTTCTGTGCATCCTGTAGCCAAAAAATTAGAAGTTGTAGCTAAACAAACATTTTTATATATTTTATCCACAAGTCAGACATATTAACAGAAGAAGAAAGAAAAAGGAACAAGCCCACATTCAGTCATATACCCATTACGTGAGAACTAACATAACACAGCCTGAACAGACCAGAGGGCACCATTGATTGGGAAAATGAGGCAACAGGGGCTCAAGGAAGCCAGACAAAGGTCGGTCCCAAAAGAACAGGGATAAAACTTAAAATCCTGTTCGTGATTGTCAGCATGCTGTTGGATTACACCTCTCATGCATAATGCTAACGCAAGAATTTGATTGGAACTTAGAAGCTAATTTCATGCATCAATAAAATATTATTCACAATAATAAATAATAAAAGGTCAAAAGAGAAGGTGGTGAGAGCTGGTAATATAAAATTAGCATGTTTACTGAGCATCTGAGACCATTTATATATCATACAACAAGGGTGAAATTAAACACTATATCTAATAAAAAACAATAAACGTTATCAATCCTTAGATAATCTATAAAATAATATTTATAGTCCATTTCTACTACTCCAGAAGAGGGAAACTAGAAAAAGATGGTGATCTTCTTGAGGACCGGACACCAACAAACAAAGTAAAAAAGTCTTACTTTACCATTTAAGACATTAACTTGAAGGAAAAGACATGGCTTTTATTTGTTATATTCAAATTCAGCAATAGTGTGTAAATAAGCACTTGTGTATCCACATTAGAGAATAACAGGCTAATCATGCATCCAAGTTTCTAGGATCTAGAAAGTGAGCGTGGGAACTAAATACTTTCCTCAAAAAGTTCTCCAAGATATTAGCTCAGGGCTCAGGGTGCTCCTTAGGCGTGGAACTAGTGAATGTGCCCTACGACTTTCATGCAAATAATCTGATGCTAATATATCGTCTGATAATCCTGTTCGGTAAATTAGACGACTCACAACGAAGATATCAAGTGAGTGAAGTGACAAATTTTTTAACAAGAATGAAAAAAGGAAGCAAAGTTTGCCTAAAGCAGGCAACTCCTTGAGTTTGCGGATTATATTGCCAGCCTTTTCCTGGCCTTTTTTCTCCCCTTTTTCCTTAGCTTTTGAAGCTTCTAATCGTGTTGTATGCATGGTATTCTTTTGCAATAACGTCATAAAGCCTTTGTCCGGAGACGGATGATGACGTTCGGCTGGCTTCCGATGATGAAGAAGAAGAAGAGGACTTTGCTTCTGTGGCTTCTTTTTATAAGCATTTTTCCCTTCAATTTTTGAAGGGTTTCCAGAGAAACAGAGAGTGTGTTGAACTGGAAGACGGGGAAAAGAAATTTATGTACGGTTAAAAGCAACGCTCCAGTAAACGCGTCAAATAGAGTTTTTACCGTTGGGAGATATGCTTTAGCGTCAAGAATACGCGATGGTCAAAGGGCGCGCGGAAAACCAATTTTTTTTTTTTTAAAAGATAGGGATATATCTATAAAGATTCTTATGTGATTATAAGTATGACTATAAGTATATGATTATAATTTGAATAATGAAGTCTCGTACGTTTTTTTAAGAGCATAATTTATTTACTTTTATCATAAATTAAAAATATAAGTAAAAATTATTGATTGTACGTATGAGGCATATAGATAATTTCCGTCTTATTAAATTTTTTATCTAAAAGCAATTTTGTCTCAATTTTATTGTAAAAATTTACATTCTAAATTAAAGTAGCATTTTAGGAGCGATTTTTTCTTTGAGTAAATTATATTATTGGTTACTTAATTATAATATTTTAAAATAATCATTAAACTGATAAATAATTTAATTTAATTATTAAAATTTAATTAAACGATTTTTTATTTAATCATTAGTCAATTTTTAATAGTATATTGACATGATAATAATATGTTAGTTATTAAGTATTACATAACATTGTCAATACTATGTTATCACTTCATTAGAAATTAATAATTAAATGTTAAAAAAAATATTTATTCAAAATTTTGTAATTAAATAAAAAAATTTAATAATTAAGTAATTATTTTAAAAATATACTCATAATTGAGTGATCATTGATATATACCCTTATTTATTTATGTGATTATTAATTAACAAATATACTTATAAATTTAAATAATAATAAAATAACAAGATATAAATTATTTTTTATTTATTAATATTACTTTATTTATATCTTCTATCATTTTAAATTTTTTATTAAATTCTATTTTATTTTATAAATTAAAAATTTAAGTAAAAATTATTGATTGTAAGTATGGCGTATCAAGCGGATTTCAATGTTATATAAAAAAATCTTATTATATTAGTCAAGCTAGCTTCTCTGTCGTGACAATCGCCAACGTTAATCTAATTTTTGTCCACGAAACACACAATCGACCTCCATGAATGCCTACACTGGAATTAATTTTTGTCGTGAGTCTAAGACGTTTTCAAACAGATGACATTCTTTCTTTTGTGTTAAAACTTCAGTTTCGCGTTGTGTCATCGTATTCGAGTATGTGACACAAACAAAACGATGACCCTTGAAGCAAATCTGATTGACTAAATTCATCATTACAAGCAATTGCAAGCACCTAAAAGCAGGTCCTAGGAAAGCTCTGACGCTTTAAAGCATGGGTCAGGGCTGTCTCTTTGATATCCAATTCGTGTAAGATCACCCCCAGTGGTTAACCAGTCCACTTCCCGTACCGCCAAGGCTTAACCTTCAAACAACAGTCTCTGCTGACTTACATTTCTCTCATACCTTTTTACTTCTCTCTCTGTACTCTTTTGTAGTAAAAGCAAAGAAATCTCAAACCAACTCATTATCAAATATTCCGCCCTCGGCCCTCTCCCTTCTCCATATTCAATACGCAAAAACACTCTTTCATTCGATCTCTAGCTAGCTACCATGGAAACCCAGGCACCAATTTCGTCTCCAAAGCCACCCAAAGATTATCGTTCCAACGTTGACACTTCTCGTCCCTTTCGGTCTGTCAAAGAAGCCGTCGCAATCTTTGGTGAGAGGCTTCTTGTTGGAGAGATATATACTCCAAAGCCTTACACTTACAGCCGTCCTACTAGCCAAGAGATTACTTGGTATTCACCAAGTCCCCAAAACCGTAAAGAAGGTGACTATCAGGGGAGTAACCAGCAAGGGGTTTTGGATATCTTAAAGAAGCTAGAGGCTGAGCTCAAGGAAACAAAGACAGAGTTGAAGTTGCTTAAGGAAAGAGAATCAGAAACAGAAGTTGCTTTGGCTTCGCTTAATGCTGAACTTCATAAGAATATGTCAAAGTTGGCAGAAGCAGAGGCGGCGGCAGCCAAAAGAGCAGCGACGACGCCGAGAACTGTGAGTATTGAGATGGGAAATGGAGAAGATATAGCGAGAGAGGAAGAGAGGAGGAGAGAGTTAATGAAAAGAATGGAGAATAACCCAACCTTGTCTCAGATATTGAGTATAGGTGAAAAGGAAGGGTATTTTGTAGGGAAAAGAGAAAGGAAGTTGATGAAAAAGAAACCTATTGTTCCTCTCGTGGGAGATTGGCTTTTCAAGAAAAAAGGGTCTCCTTATGCATCTCCTCAAATGTATTTTAATTAAGAAAAAAATGATCGATCTCTCGTAAATGCATTTTATTTTAGTGAAGTGATCAAATTTCTGGGATTTCATGTGTAACTCATGGAGAGGTGGTTTGTATTTATCCAATGTAACTAAAGAAATTCGTCATGTTTTCATGTTTAAATTTTCTGCTGTGCCAAAAATAACGAGCTACTACTATTAAGTGTTCTTTTTGTGAAATCAGGCAATCCACTTTATTTTACACCATTACTATGTTTATTCCATGTTTATATACACATATACATACAATCAACGCAATTAAATAATCTTGACACATATACTATTTAAATCCGAAGGCCAAACACAAAAATCGATGATCCTGGTGAAAGTTGAATTGTTTTTGGGTTTTAAGGAATTATTTTGATCGTTGACTGGCCTGTTTCGGCTTCTATTTATGGGCATTTTGCCCTTTTTTTTCTGTAAACTTTGTTGGGCTTCTGCCTTCCTTACTTTGTTGGTTTCATTATTGGTATTGAATATTAATGTAAACATATTGTGCACTGTGTATCATGACAGGTACTTGAAGAAATTAGGTTTAGCCCTACCTGGTTGGGGCAGCATGTGGATCTCTTGAATTAGTTGCCATTGAGGAGCCAATAGTGAAAGTTCGAATCACGGGTCCTGCAGCAGAGGTCATGACTGTTAGAGTGGCTATTACACAAAAACTGCAGAGAAAATTCCAGCCATTGGAGCAGTTCAACTTCTATGATTTCGACACAAGTTTCTATTCTTTGGTTGGATGCCAGTGTTAAATAGTAGTAATATTTTGATAATCCAATTCAATTACACGAATATAGGATGAAAACCATTTTTGATTTAGTATTGGCAGCGGGCTAGAAAGTACAAACAAGATTCTGAGGATTTGTAAAAAGCTCCCAAAATGGGTTAATAGTCTTAGGGATGGCAAAACCAAAATCATTTTCGACTTCTCTCGATCAGATTCATTGCCGTCCCTAGTTAATACCACGTAGAGAGGTGGGTTGAGTGGGCTCGATGGATATAAGTCTAGAGTAGCCCAAGTTTGTATGTTTTTGGATGAAGCTCAAGTCATTATTTTAGCCTTTCCATAAGCAAACCTAAAGCTGTGGCCTGCGCACAAGTCTGAGTTTGAGGCCCGGATAAGTGATTTTAACCTAGCCTCCTTTTTATATTATAAAAGAAAAATGTCCAATGTTGAAAACTAAACTGCTTTGGAACACAATTTCCTTCACATTTTGTGTGGACAAATTGGATTCTTAACTATAATGCCGTTGATTTTTCATTGAGAAAACGTGAAAAATAGTCGGCAAAACATAACAGAAAAACAGAGATGCCCTTTCTAGAAGGCCTTTTTAATTATCCAGAAAGGCTTCCCATCAAATTATCCAGAGTCTTGCTCATGTTCTAGAAGTTGATAAGACATTTTCATTGTTGGACTAATCAATTAATTGATACGAAAGACCAACCGGTGATGAAAATTTTGTTCCAATTCCACAGTCAATGTGGGTTTGGAGTGGGCACTAGCCACACGTGCAATGCATCCTAGTCTTTTTCGTATCCATTTCACCATTTCGACTCCACTAGTTTGATTTTTTGACCTCAATAGCACCTCCGGCCCTAGCTAGCAAGCTACCGTTTTGTTTTTTTATGATCGATCACGATTTCTTCAGTGAAAGTTTCAAACAATTTATATAACAGCTAATTTTGTTTACGTGCCTCATCTTGAATCTTTGCTGCATAAATATGTTAGCTTAAGTTCACTCTCACAAACAATAATTATTTGCCAAAACCCACTCTCAAAGGAATGAAGCTCTTCTCAAAGACCCTAACTGCAACCGATTGCCTCAAAAGGTTGTCCCTCCCAAAAGGGGCCCTAACCTCGTTACCTGATTTTCATGGAGGTCATGCCGTAGAATTGCTTGTCAGGTGTGAGACCATGGAGTACTGGCCACTTGTCTGCACCATTCGAAAGAGAGGTTATAAAAAACCTGTTATCTCCAAGGGCTGGAGAAAGTTTGTGCTTGGAAACAGGTTGAATGTTGGTGATGAACTTACACTTCACAAGGAGGACGATCGAGAATCAGTTTCGTTGCGTTATAGGGTTGAAGTTAAGAGAGCAAGCAGTCCATCTAGGGCTCTTTCCCAATCACTTTCACCTCCGGACCATCACGTTGACCAAATCACAAGCCCAAGAAGCTGCAAAAACGTTGATGTGAGCGATGGTATAGCTTCGGTTCATTGCACAGATGGTGACAACAGCTTTGTCAACCATGTTCTCGTCGATGTGATCGATGTAATGGATGTCACCAATCAAGACAATAGCAAAGTACGATCTGGTGAACAACAAGAGAGAGAAGTGAGAGAATTCAAGTTGTTTGGCTCCATTAATTTTGGTGGTTCACTATTGGTTAGCAGTGGCACCAGTGAAACTTTTGATCATAAAGCATACTATAATTCTCTCAAGCAGTTTGGCTTATCTGATGACGGTGCTGAACTCGTCAATAGAAACGGCCAAGCTATAGAGCATTTCAATCTCGGTTTGACTATGGGTGGTGCAGTGGTCCATGTTGATGATCAAGCTACCAGTACCAGCAGCACATCATTTTACAAAACTGATCAAAGGCTGGGTTTTGAGTCGGATACGATACCTGGTCAATCAACAGGACATAGGAGTGTTGTCAATTTAGACTTGACCTTGAGGCCACCAATATTAATTGTTTGATGGGGTTATAATTTTTTTTTTTTTTATGAAATATCATTGGCTTATAATTTCCTCCATTTGGTTGTGTAATTATGTTCTCTCCGATGATATCTTATATTTCAATGATTTTTTTCTTAAGAATTTTGTTGTTTATTATTTATGGCGTGATGTAGGATTTTAGGGGCCTAAAGTTTTTGTTGCTTTTATTAATTTTCTGTTTTAGCATATCTATGGAGTTGATTAGTAATGCGTGTAATGGCTTAATTTGAAACTCTGTTTGATCATTTGTATATCAATTTGATGAGGAAGTAGTTAGCCGCCTTGGTGACCACCCGCTCGTGACCTTTGAATGTTTATGCTTATGCTTATCAATCATTCATTTCAATGGGGGGACCCAAATGTCACATAAAATTGTCGACATAAATTTCCATGGCTTCAGTCTCAATTTTCAACCGTCTTTGACGGGAATAGAGCCACCAATCTAGCTGACCCTTCCGGATCATCATTGCTTTCTTTAGCCTCTTCTTTTCTCTAGCTCTGTCCAAGTCATGGCCTCAACGCCAATACACTACAGTTTTACCTCGTCACGAACTTCATTATGAGCATCAAGGAATTCTTGGCCCAAGTTTTGGGCAAAAGAAGGCAAACAGAACGGATGAGAAGAGGCCAGCAAGGTGCTAATAAAATTTTTGTGCACAACTCCAATGCAAAGGGTGATTGTTGAAGCTTGGTTTTTGAGAGTAAAAGGGCGATTTGAAGAAAATGGAGAGAATAAACAAAATTATTTAAATGAAATCAGATACAGAATCCTTGACATCACTACTAACTAAGAACCCCTCGTCCGCGTGGAGGTAAAGTAACAACGAAAGTGGGAGTTCTTCAACCACGTAATTCAAATGAACTCTAAAATATATTTTCAAAGATACCGTCATGTCATGGAAATGTTTTTCATCAGTATTTAAACATGTTTCATTCCCAAAAGCATCTATATACAACTCAAACAACATATAACGAAGCATTTAGTTTAGAAATATGATAAATTTGTTTATAGTATAATAAGAAAAGCATTAAAAAAACCAATAAAACATGTTCTATATATAGTTAAGGAACAAGAAGAAGAACATGATCAGATATTCTATTATATTTTGTGTTGTTTTTAGTTTTTTTATGAGTAGTTATATATTAATTTAAGTGCAACTATTGGTGTGGATCCCCCATCAGCAAGCATGCCAAGCCATGGTTTTCAAAGCCGACATTTTCCAAGTATTCAAACTATAGACTGGAAAATTTGGGTGATGAGTGGTGACTCGCGATGTACAATGGTCTTTTGGTATTTAACTAACGCGATCGCGCGATTAACGCATGAATAATCAATTAATTGAAGTTTTGCCTTTGCTTTTGGTTTGATGTCATTATACGGTCCTATATATACCGTACATATACATGTTTTATGATAAGAATATAATATTTTAGTTATAATTTCTTAAATAGATTAAAAATACTATTATCTTTCATGATTTTATTTATATTTATCAGAAACGCGTGCAATTTTATTGGAAAATTAATTAAAAATTAAAAAATAATTAACCAACTAAAGAAGTGAACAAAAAGTGGCATGCGACAATAAAATTAAGCGAACGTGCAAAATGCAAATTAACCCTAAACGTGCTCTATATATGTTGTATGAGCACGTGCTCCTCTTGGTCTGGAGATCGTGCAAAATGCAAAGCCTCTATTTGGTAACAGAGATATTTTATCACCACGTTATTAACCTATTACTGGGTTTTAATTGGTTATTTGGTCAAAGCAATATTAATTAATTTTGTGGTTATTATTAAATTATCAGCTATAACAAAATTTTAAAATTTTAGATAAAATAAATTATATATTATGTGAGTGTGTGAAATAAGTGCAGACTTTAGTATATGAATACTTATAATATTTTTTAATAGTAATCAATTATTAAAAAAAGAAAAAAAAAAAAAGAGATGGAGATTTTAAATAGAAAATTAAACCGATGGGGCAAGTGATTGGCAACATACAAAAGATGCTCCAATATTGTTAGGTTAATTAACCACTCGTAATATAATGAATTTTCTATTAAAACTATATCTCAAATTTGTGGGAACTGAAAGAATTATACACCTAGAAATTAGTAAACTATAAGTGGGAACGAAGTAAAAATTTAATCAGAAAAAATAAAAGAGAAACTGTTGAAATTCAACCAATTAAACTGTACGACTAATTATTGAAGCTGATTACAAATATAATTATTGGTATATGATATGCGATGGGATCATAATGAAAACAAAAAGTAAATCATCCGAACCCAAAAGATATAAAGGCATACTATTATTAGTTTGGAAAAACCTTCAAACAAGCCCGATGAGAAAACTCTAATGAAAAAGCAGCGGAAAATAAAACAAACAAGATTCAACGAAATGGAGGTCAATACTTTTGACTCTGGCACTCGACCGTGACAGCCCTCGGGGAAGCTCCC